GCCGTAATAAAAATAATAAACAAAAAAACACTTTTTTATTTAGTTTTGCACGAGTTGTTAGGCATATATGCATACGGTACACAAATCTGCTTCTTAAAAAAAACTAAAATATTTTGCTCTTATTCTTATAAGATATAACACCGTTATGTTCTATGGCTTCTTTTATCTGTAATAAGGGGCTCTCTCCTCTTTAAATGTGATTTACTGCACACATATTTATCCTGTATTCTTTGTGTTTCCAGAAAATATATAAAAACATTATTTAATAAATGAATTTGTTGCAATACTTTAAATAAGACGGCAGCAATAGAGGAACAAGATCATATTTCTCTGTAACCCGTTTACAACTTTTTCTCAATTTTGTCTGTTCACAAAAATGGAGTTGTCAGTTATTTTCATTAAAGAATTCGTTAAAACTCGAGGTGATATATTTTTTCATTTTTGGTGTAAGGGTTTTACTGTGTAGTGGTGGTTTAGACATCCGTATATTTAGAATCTGTAGAGACCATTCCCACAGATATTTAGATCGATCTATCCCCCTGGGGAGTCTCCCTAGATTGCTGTCAGCTTAACCGGCTTAAATGTCTAACCCGCCTACTAAAAGCTGTATGGGAGTAATTAACTTTTGTGCGCGCTTGGCTCCCGGAAGCTGACAGCAATTTAGCTGAACCCCCGGGGAGTTAGGTCGATCTATATGGATCGATCTAAATCTGTGGGAACCCAGTCCTACCGTCGAACCTTGTATTGAACGTGAATATGACCAGCACAAACACTGTAGATTCAAGACACGGTCAATGCCCCTGATTGAATCATTACCTTAAACAACAAAAATAAGGTACTGACGCACTGATAAGGGCCAGTGCACTGATATTTGTTTTTCAAATAAACATGTTTGTCATTCTAAGTACAGAAAACTAAAGCGCTGTTCACTCCCACTCTGTAACAGGTGCTGCATGGGGCACAGTGCACTGAAATCATGAGGCCCAACTGCTACCCTTTCTAGGAGTGGCAGAGCGCAGCAGTTTGTTTGTACAGGATTGGGCTGAAGAGTTGTTTTTCAGCATGTTAAGTTTCAGCGCCCGAAAAACAAGAGGTTAAAAGTGAGCGTTAACATCCGGCACAGAAAACAAATCTCCATCAGTTGCCTGGCACTGCAATGATCTTGACACCGATGGCTTTAATTCAGTGTGCCATTTACTGGGTATGACCGTCTACGATATTGCAATGTAAAGAAAAAATAACAGTAATTTTGAAAAGAAACAAGCAATTGAAATTTTAAATCATATATGGTGTTCTTATTTTCATATTACGTGAGCGAAGGTCACAGTGCCCGGCAGAGTTTTAAATTGTTGTTTCATACAAAGTGAGAAGGACGCGGTGTTGACTAGACTCGCGGTTCACCACTCACTGCAGCACGCCGGACTGTGGTAGGATATGATAAGAGAACAGAGCTGTATCAGTAGACTATGGAAGAGATTGACAGCCTCGTGGCGAGTGTAGACATGTGATACCAGACAGGACGTGGTTTTAGCTGCACTACTACGATATGTGCAAGCAACGGCGGTTCCAGGGGAGAGGGGGGATGGAGGGGGGTGGGGGTGGGGGTCACGTGCCCCCCTCCCCTAAGCTATAGGCACCACCATATCCCTGCTATAACAATCAAAACAAAGCCAATCCACGCAATGATTCCATCCCGGTACTCTGCATACATTGGTAAAACAGCCTTTTCTATTATTAATATATTATATCTATAATAAATCTGCCCCCCTCCCTCATAAATCACTGATCCGCCACTGCTAGGGGTGAAGTTCGAGTGTTTTAACAACAAAAAAAAAAAAAAAAAAAAAAATAATAATAATAATAACAATAAATACTTAAATAATAATAAATAAATAAATAAAACTGTAAAATTATTTCAAAGCTGTTAAAAACCGAGATTGGTTACAGCGACTTCAAATGTACACTTAACTATGTTCTGATAAAGATGAAACTTGTCGTCCTCACAAACATTGTATTGATTTAAAGCAGATTCTGCGTAGACAAACTTCCAGCGGTACGTAAACAACCCGCACCTCTGCCTCCAATACACCAGGCGGTCCCTGGTGCCACTGTGTCACGTGCCCCAGTCAGCTGTCAGCGAACGTCAATCCAGGGGCGCTATAAAACCAACAGCGAGCTGGCTCGGTTCTGTGTTTTGGGAAAGGTGCCGACAAGAAACGCCGAATCCCGCCGAAAGAATCTTTGAAAACCAGAGCTCTACTAACAGAAGTCACCATGAACCTGTTTGTTGTTTTGAGCATTTTTTGCTTGATTCAGGTAAGTTCGTTTAGTTGAACTTTTATGATAAAATGAGATTATAATGTTGGTCCAAGATGCTTTCTTTAATAATGTTAACAATTTTTATAAAGATTTATTGTAGACAGCACTGCCTTTTTTCTAGAGGATTCTGTCGTGATTTCTAAAAAGCGTTCTTTCTATGTGCAACTTGAAATGATAAACACGCCCAAACTGCAAGTGTACTGTGACCGCAGATTTGATGACAGCACATGTAGTTTTCAAAATATTCGCTGTTTTCATCCTGACCTCAGATATGCGCGAGCTGAGACCTTCTCGAAAAAGTACAAAAAATATTAAAATCAATTATCCTTGCTTGAACCCTGCAGAGCATAGTCATACGTATACGTGACTTACTGGGAAGTGAACGTGTTGGGATGACGAAAGATTAAAGTTGAGAATTACATAACATTTGCCATGAGAGCCGTGCGATTCCAAAAACTGTCAAAAGTTTAAGCTCTAGAAGCTATACGAAGGCCGTAAATCCGCACGATTTCGCACGATCACCGTCTGCCTCCGCACGGAAAGGGATTTGCGTGCACCGTACGGACATCACATGACATATGGAACCTAAGTGGCATCAGTTTCAGTGTGAGCTACGGCCGCTGTATTCAGTCGACGCCTCCTAAGACAGCAATGCACCTCAGCACGAAATAGTACCTCATGTTTAAATTTTAATTCCCAGTTTCCGTTGTGAAGCCATTTGCAATAAGAGCAGAGAAAAACGATGAAAATATAGTTGGTTGTAATACGTGACTCGTCTATCTTCAAAGTTGTCAACAAGACAGCAATTTTGGTACTCAAAATACGTAGGTTGATTGCCTTGATATTATACAGAGAGAGTTTATGTTTGGTAATCGGATACCTATCACGCACAGAAGCACCGTTTCTTTGAGTCAACTGAAATTTTAAAAATTTGGTTAAGTAACTTCGGTGTAAGCACTGTGCCTTTAGCGTTCAAATCGAGTTTAACTTAACAACGTCAGTAAATAATGTAAGAAATTGGGGAAAGTTTTTAATTTACGTACCCGGGCTATGAGCAACCACGCTGGTCGTACGAACTAGTCTAGTGTCCAGCTATTCTTCGGACTTGATGACATATGCCTCTCCCCCACCCCAAAATAATAAATAAATAAATAAATAAATAAATAAATAAATAAATGGTGAAAGTGTGCAATGAAATCCCTGAAATAAATAGATTGAAAACTATTAAATGCCTGTGAAGACGTGTTACAGCAGACGTAAACGTACACAAGCAATTAATAATCCTATCTAGGGAGCTCTTGTGTTTTTGCAGTCTCCCCTACAGGGTGACTCCTGTACGAAGCTTTATGTCAGAGCTATGTTGATATTCCTTGTTATCTGTGTCAATATATTTCCTTAGGTTGCTTACTGCAGGTCATGTGGAGGTAACCAAGACTGCGGACCAGACGAATGTTGTGCTGCGGCCCCTTTTGCGTAAGTTCCCATCTCTCTCTCTCTCTCTCTCTCTCTCTCTCTCTGTGCGTGTGTGTGTGTGTGTGTGTGTGTGTGTGCACTTACCAGATTTATTGGGTGTATTGCTCCGTCCTTTACTGGACTCTCCGGTATGTCATCCTCCTCTAAAATTTTGCTCAAGTGGGCAATATAACTAGCAGCAAGTCTGAGAGTGTCTAGTTTAGACAGTTTTGTATCTGGTGGCACCCAAGGTAGGGTGGTTTTTAACTTGGAAAACGCTCGACTAAGTACTCTCATTCTTGCGCGTTCTCTTGCATTAGCAGCGTTCCTTTGAATGGGCTTTACATCTTTTTCTCGAAACTCACTGTAGTNGGGGGGGGGAGCGTGCCAACTTCCCTAAGCAAAGCCTGGGTCCTTCAGTGGGTTTCAAAAATCGATAAAATACCAGCAGTTCTATGTTAAAAAAACCTCAGTGATGCTAATTTTTCTGCCAATCAGAAATAATTAACCCACGTCATATTAACGATAGACAACCTGCCCTGTGCTATTTCCTGCAGACTCCCAATTATCTGGTTAACATGTAGTCATTTCCCCGTGAGAAGTAGTTTTTGATGATTTAATCGACTAGGTTCTCTGGTAATTGCAGGTTTCATGATACAAAAAAAACGAATGCTCAATTTTTGGTATTATGCACTTTGTAAAAATCACATGATGGAAATCAGCATCAATGCGAGCAATTTGTTTAGATCACATAAATCTGCACAGTAATGTTTAGAACCTCGACAGAATCCTGGCTAATGACAATTAATGTATGTATCTGACTCCACTCTTTCACCACTATACGATAACGAAAACTTTGGACCACATATATAGGTAATCATTTAATATTCAGGGATATGTTAACAATTGTTGATCGGATATTGTGAAATTTATGATCGGATATTGTGTAAATTTCTTGTCAATAACTAGTTTTTAGTCTATTTATGATGTGATATATATTCGCTTCTATTATATAAAATGCGTTCATGCATTAGATTAATTAGGCCTATCTTGTGCTGGCAAATTGCCTTCGTGGTCCTTTGTAGTTCTGCTGGAAGTTCACGCCAAGCCACTAGAATATTGAATTACCTCTACGGCGATTAATATCATTCAGTCAACAACTTTGGTACATTCAAAAGTTACTCTCAAATCACATTTTTAAAAATAATTTTGTAAATCGGTAGAGAGCACTAACTACTTGATGGTACTGTTTCCAGTCCCCGTCACCGTGAAGGCCTCCACCGCGGAGAGTGTACCCCACTGGCCGACCTCGGGGACACATGCGCCATGCCGAGCGACAGATTGCAACACCGACCCCTGGTTTGTCCTTGTGTTGAAGGACTGGAGTGTATTGGACGCAGGCCTTCAAAGGGACAGCCGACATTCCTTGCCCTTCTATACCCCACGGGGAAGTGCGTGGACCCAAATGCGTGCTCCAGTAACCTCGACTGTGATGAGAACGAATGCTGCGCCATTGTTGGCACTGGGTTAGTAGTTTATTCTGTATGCATTTTATTTTGTTACCATTTTAGTTTATTCTTTTTCACGTCTGTTATCGACATTTTTCATTAATACGCTTCTTATCTTAAATTAAGATTATTTTTACATTTGTCATTCTTTGTACCCGGCCGTATATTTCATAAAATTTCTCTAGAATATAATTTATACGGATAGTCTAAATGTTTTGTTTTGGTTTTTAAAAGCTGAGTTTTTAAAAATTTAATCGTTTTCCATTTTATAAATGCATCTTGAGTGCACCTACTTTATTTTTGTAATTAACATCTTGTTCTTCTAGATTCGATCCACCGAAACGGTGCATTCCTCTAGGAGGAGAAGGTGAGAGGTGCGCCGCCTCGTACAACCCAGAGCGCCCCCTAGGGTGCCCCTGTGCTGAGGGGTTAACATGTGAAGTGACCGAAGGGGCGCAGAAGACCTTCTTGTCCATCCTTCACCCCACCGGTAGATGTCGCCAGGCGTAAACTTTGACAGCTTTTCATGCTGAAATGTAGACCTCTCGTGGGTGTCAACTTACACGAATTTTGTTGACATTTTATGGACATTATGAATAAATATACTGTCCTCATCACACGCACCCGATCCAGTTTTACCGTTTTTTCCCCTTCGTTTCTTTCAGTACTGGATGCTGTATACTAAACCATTTGCAGCTTCTGTATCACGGTATTCAACCATACTTTATATGATTATAGTTATGATTATAATAGTTTAAATTTTAAATAGGATAAACAATAAAAATAGGAAGAACCTACGGAGGAATTACTTACTGGTATAGGTGTATGAACGTCTTTTACACGTGGCAGTCCTCTCCACAGCTGATCTGCTGTGGTACCGTATTAGTACAGAGGCCCTCGTAGTCCAGACACATGCGAGCAGTGGGATGCTGGGTATTTTCATTCCTTTCAGCGCAGTAGGGCCAGCGCAGGGGGGTTTGGCTACCGTTTGGGCGTGGTGGTCAAGAGGGTATAAAAAGAAACCGCTGGCTCTCACTTACTTACTTCTTTACTTGCAGTTACGTTTATTCTCATCTTCGTGCAAACTCACTTGTTGTCGGCTACAGATATTTTCAAGTAGCTACTTTCAAGTAATTACTTTCGGGCAGTTTTCTCCAGAGTTTCAAGACAGTTACTTGCAAGATTTTAAGCGTACTTTTCAATTGAAGATCGTATTGGCAGTGCGATGACTGATAAAGGAATAAAAATAACTTTTGGAACAACAAGTGCACTTCTTAATACTGGTATATCATCTTATCACCGGGATAAGGAGACGAATACAAGCAGAAAAAGATCCCCGCAAGATCCCCCGGTTGATATAAGGATAATTTTTTCCTTAAAATTAATATGAAGTAACATCCATCATTGCTTACGTTGACATGTTATAGTTACGCATTTTTTATTAGTACCTTAACACGCGTCAGACCAATACTTGGTTATATACATGAACGTGTGACCACAATATGTGAGCCAATATGTTAAACTTCTGAAAACGTAATCACAAAACTGTCAAATTCTCCAGATTTTCCAAATCTATGAACGCATTATTTGAAATAAAACTTCAATTGTTGAAAATCTTCGGCGTCTTCAGAATACTCTTGTTGGAGTTCATATATCTATCCAGTCAAGACGATCCGTGTCCATGATGACCCCTCTCCACGGCCTTCCCCATATCCCTGCCCCTTGAGGCATATACCAAAATGTACCTGGATAACCACAGGGGCGGTGGCTGAAATCAGTTCAACTGTTGAAGGCCTGCAATAGCTGCCAGGTTATTTGCACCGCGCGTGGTGTTCTTGTAGGAGCTGACTACAGAAAACTGAGAAAAGAAGTAAAGAAGAGAGGCTAACACGCTATAGAGATAAAAACATTTTTTCCTAATTTTTCTGTGTTATTGAAAAGTATATTGTAACGAGTCTCTTACAGGGATGAGCAAAGGCATTAGCCTACAGGGATGGGATATGGACATGTTTAAAATCAAGTTCTATCAAATGTAAAGAGGAAATGCACGACTCCGACAGTGTACATGTATATATAATTTACCTATATAAGTTTTACCAATTTATTTTTGCCTCATCTTTGTGTATAATGTCCAACGTGCTTATAAAAAAGTCATTTTTATACCTCCAAGGATACCTGGAAAAGTGTTTGATGAAGCGAGGTAGGCTCACAGTAGCTTTTCGTACCTCCTGCAGTACGCATATGGGCGCAGGATGGAAGAAGAGTATGGATTAGGTAAAAATAAAATGTTTTCACTTTAAAAAGATCAACATTTTTTTTGCCGTGTACATGTAGCCTTTTATGCCATCCATCTATTGTTATTATTTTATTATTCTTTAAAAAGATTGTGAACATGATTTTGAAAGTCTGGGAGATCAAGAAAAATTACATCCTGCAAACTAAGAATGACAGACAATAACTACTGAGTACATTATTCTTTCCGGAACAGAACGTTATTGGGTCATTTCACTGCAACATTCTCAAAAAATGTTCTCTCTCCATTTGCAAGAGCTGACTTCTGGGACACTGCAGGCGTCATCGTGGAAATTCACTTGCACACAGTTCTGAGCGTCTGCTGAGTGATATGTTCTGAGGATGGAGAAACCATCTTTGGGCCTTGTTATTAACCTTACTGAACACTTGTGGCATGAATTGAAGTGTGCAATGCAAAGGAAAACCAAACTCCTTAAAGTCTGGACCAATTCAGCCAAGCTCTTTAGGAAACAGGATACTATCCCACAAAATAGAATTGTTACCTTTGTTGAAGGCAGGCGGCGCCGCCTACAGGAGACAATTACAGTACGCGGTAAACACACACGTGACCTTTAACGAGCACATCTTAATGCTAAATATGTGTTAATTTGGTGATATCGGTGATGACTTTTCAATTTAATGGGCATTTTTTTACCTCTGTAGAAATGACAGTGAAACATCGGATTAAAGGGGGTACATGTAATAAATGTGAACAAATGGTGTTAAATATGGATATCATTATCTTCACGGCTAGTTTGTATTTTCTGTACCATTATTAACTGTTGATTAATTCAATCATGTTACATGGAGTTCTTGTGTCTGGAATGAAAATCACCATTCATAACAATTAACTCCTGTGATGTGATCATTTATAAATAAAAGCACATGAAACTGGGGGTGACTATCGTGCTCTCCTCTTCCTCCTTTTTGACCAATGTTGCATAATTTAATCATTTCAGGTTGATCTTCTAATATATTCAATAAAGCGAAAAAACTTGAATAAGTGAATATAATGAAAAAAGAACTCTTGTTTTTAATTTATCAGCTTCTTTTAATAAAAAAAAGGAAAAACAAATAATGAAAAATAAGTTTAGAAACTCCACAATCACTGCACGTCACTTGCCTTGTTAGCTATCTTTTCCTATTTCTTTTATCCTCTGCAGTTGCTCGCTCATAGGACAATAAAGTTAAGACACTCTATAACACAGCTGTCATAGTTCACATACACATTGAACATAAGGACTCACATACACGACATTACACTGCTGTCAGCAGTAATCAGGGCAGGAGTGCTGTTTATTGTTATTATTATTATTATTATTTTTATTATTATATTCAAAAGCTGGGGACCTGGCAGAGTCTCTGTATGCGAGATTATGGCTAGTTTCTCCGCTCTATTAAGAATATAGAAAGAATAAATCATACATTTCCTCATTATTTTTAAGACACACAAGACCAACAATTTCTGAAGATCCTAATTACACATACACCCATCATGATTACAAATATCATTATACGAATGCTTTTGAAAACATTTTGGTCACATTTAAGTGTATAAAATTCTACAGCTGCTCTGTTACTTTTGGCAATGGATTATTAAAGCTCGCAGTTGGATATACTGTACACGTCTGATACGACTCGAGGGCTATGAATTAAAGTAAGATCTTTTGATTGGTTTGATATCCTTTGGTGATCTGAAGAAGCCATAAGACCAATTAGACGTAAAGAGAGTTCTGAGCGTCTGCCAGTTCTAGTTGTCCCAGTGATGGCAGGCTCCAGGCTCAGGTATAAAGAACTAGTCAGACTGCAGCGAATAAACACTTCACGAAGAACAGAATGTCTGTCGTGAATTTTCTAATTTTTGTTTTAAAAGAGCATTTTTGTCAGAAATCAATTTTAAGAATAAATAGTTTTCTATCTGGTATTCGTTACCATTATTCTGTTTGAATACAATGTGAAATTATACGCGTTGCTTCTCTTACGTTGTAGTCATGAAACACCATTGTGAAAGGTAGCTTGCGTTTCTATAAATGCGTAAAGAAGCCCACGTTCTTCAGCTTTGCGCAGTGGCGGTACCATAGCCAATGAGGTTTATCCAGCACACGAACGAAACGTAGTGCCTCGATATGAAACCAGACAACTTTTGTGTTTTTAATCTCCAAATACGAAAAAAAATCAATTAAGCTAATAAATAGGCTAACGTTAAGAACGTATTATATCGTTTGTTTTATATTAATTATTATTTAAGATCATAATAATAAACAAGTCGCATTTCGATGTACTCCATGCTATAAACTTTATATAAAAATAGCAATTTTTTGAGATTACAAATTGTATCGCATTGTTTGGTTCCATTGCCTCGCTTTCAAAAATTAGAACAGGCGCTCCAAAATCGTAAAACGAAGTTAAAAATTTTATATTGGCCGAGTTCCCCCACTGTTAAGAATATCCTTGCAGCATTATCTGCAGTTAACCTTCCTACGATTTTCAATGTATTTTGCAATGTAATTTACAATCCTCCAGGTGAAGAATTTTATTAATCAAGAGTAGAGGAGGTGTGAAAATCCCCATTGGGGCCACATATAACACTATAAATACAATGGGAATCCCCTTAAAATGAAGGTAAAATAAAGGTTTTTCTAAGGAATTCCGACGGATTTACTTTTTACAACATAAAATCAATAGAACATTTCTAATATAAATTTGCAAAAAGACACCAGAGAGCTAATGAAATAAAATCAACCAGACGGTCTTTGTCAATTTCACCAACTTGTTTGTTTCAAACAGCGCACTTTTCGCACATGCGCAGTTGTTTGAAGCCTGTGCTGGTTTATCCGAGGCGTGGTTATTGCTAGTTGAAAACTATACCCAATACCCCGTGCTGACGTCGTGAAATACCGACGGTAGCACAATTTTTGAACGCCTCTACGGGGGCTTATAGCAACTTGCATTAAGATCCATTTCACCCCCTTCTTTACTTAACAAATATTTTCTGTACTCTAAACCGTTAATATTGCTATATTCGATCTCCCAACACTCGGTTCCAGCGTGTTCAAACGAATATATAAGCAGCACATGACATTGTTTTGAACATGTTAAAAGCATTTTATCTCCCCAGAGCAAATGTTTGAGAACGGACACCAACGCTTCTACATTGAGGATGTCCGAGGACCAGAGTAGAGCCATAACATACGTATGGCCAGGCGCGACAGTGCCTTTATGCCTAGATTACATTGACTACGGACGTTGCACGTTTGTTTTAATTAATTTTTAAAAACATCTGTAGTCTTTTTTATTATTCATCCAAGTTGCATTATATAGTGTACTGAAATAATTTGGATTTTAGACTCAAAATAATAATAATAATAATAATAATAATAATAATAATAATAATAATAATGATGATGATGATTTTTTTGCGAATGAAAAAGAAGAGTCAAAAATCCACTCAAGTTTCCTTTTTATGCATTGATTTCTTTGCATCAACAGTTCACCCGTTATGTCTTTAAATATGTCATGTTGTTGTCATATTGTTCTTATTTAACACACGATTGGCTTTGTTTTGCTAATTAGTGTTTATTCATGAGATATTTATTAAATTGATAGCGGTAGATACAACTTGTGTTATCCAATGTAAACCCTTCCCTTTCTGTTGCGTGCTAGTGGTAGCTTATCAGCTCACCAGGCACACAGCACACACACAAGCGCGCGCACGCACACACACACACACACACACACACACAAGCGCACACATACACACACTTACAGCTGTCACACACACACACACACACACACTTACAGCTGTCACACACACACACACACACACACACACACACACAAGCACAAACCCTGGTTCATAATTGCTTACTGCCCAAGTAGCGCGAGAGCTTGCACACACGGCGAAATGAGTACTTAAAAAACCCGCGGAAAACCCCGAAACGAGAATTCTAATCAGTTGAATTCATCGCCTCATGGAGAGCACGTATTGTGAATTGTAGGACAGACATTAATTTGCGCACTGGGAAAATTACGTACTCCGTAAGGACTGCGTACAGGGGCTCACAAAATTTACACAGGTTTTGATTTTTATAATTAGCGCAGGTCGTTACTTTAGTTCAAGGTGGAGAGGCCCCACATTTATTTTAATTGTCTTTTGTTCATAATTCTAGTTCAAATATAATGAATAAATAAAATAACTCAGAGAGCAAAGAAATTTGCGAAATTGCAAACTTGATGTATGAAACACAGATTAATAAAATCTGGGACCGGTTTTATAAAGGACGTTTAATTATAGCACTAACCAATGGATAAATTCTCCAAACACTGGTTAACTATATGGCAGTTAAAATTGTGTTTAATAAAAAGCGTTTAAACAGCCGATTAGTTAACAGACGTTTAATTTTTTTAACCAGTGTGTAGCTGCTATGAACAATTTATCCAGACCATATTTGGAAATGAAATTTCCCAGAATGCAAATGAGTTTCTACAAACAAAATAAGATACCCATAATTAATCCATTATTCATTTGTGTTGTCTGTTATTCTTTAATGTACTTTGGCAATGTCAACAATATCTGAGAAAACAAAGAGATGATTTAGATTGATTAATATGATTTAGATTGCCAAAGTATGTTTATGTACTTATTTAAAAAGAAAAATAATAAATAAATAAATAAAATAAATAAATAAATATATAAATAAATAAATAAATAAATAAATAAATAAATAAATAAATAAAAATATTCAAAAATGAAACTAGTTTCCTTGAAAGAATGTTTCCTTTCCGTCTCTGGATCTAGTTGGTTTTGAAGTTTTCTAAATACAGTAACGAATTTCTACTGAATCTAAATCTTTCAATGAGTTCTTGCTCAGTTGCTCCATCAAGATCAAATAAATCTCTACTGAAATATCTGTCTCTTCTCAGTCTTAAAGGTATATATCTGCGAGGATTTCTGGCAAACCGCAGCAGGTTCGCCATTTTTATCCGGCGTTTAAGGAATTTAAACTACCTCCTTCCAGCGTATAAATTTAACCAACCGTTAAGAAGATTTAACCATTGGTTAGTGCTAAACGACGTTTTTGAAACCCGGTTAAATGTCGTTTAAGTTAAACGCTGGATTTAACCGGTGGGTAGTGCTAAACGTCCTTTATAAAACCGGGCCCTGGTGGTTAAAAGATAATTCAAGTTATCCTGGTCAATCTTAATGTTCTGAAAGAAGGAATTCCCTAGTTCTAGGTGACAAAGCGTGCGTAGGCATAAAGATTAACTAGGAAGTCTGACTCTGAGTGACTTTGACTGAATAGAACATTGAACTGCATATAAGAAGATTTGGGGGCAAACAGGACAGGCTATTATCAGCACAGATATGGCAAACTTACAGTTCATAGGAATTTTGAGCCAAATGTGTTCTTGATAAATAACAAGTGTGATAACTTGTTTATTTGCTGATATTGTTTACCTGTCTCTGAGCCACTCCCTTAGCCCCTGTGCAGAGATAAATGACATAAATGTCATTATGTTATATCAAATTCAGAATTTTGTTTACATACAAACGGTAAGTACGATCCTTATGAAAATCAAATCAGTTCATTCTTGGTGTATCTTCTATTTACAAAAAAATTGAAATCAGAACCGCTACAATTGTGGCCTCTGTGACCGTACAAAAATTTACCACAAACATGTTAGCATACGCACACACACACACACGCACACACACACACACACACACATACACACACACACACACACGAGAATTATAGCAATAGACATGCGAAATTTTCTTCGCAATTACTAAAATAATACTGAACCGCGTCAGAAGTTGGTATTTCTTGTTTTATTCCGGCTATAAGAATTGAACGGATAACCTGTTATTTCACTTTCACCGTTGACCGCCTTCGACCGCACTCTTGGGTGGAAGAGACAAATTCAAGCGGTGGATCATTAGATTTGTGTCTCGGCGTATTCTAGGATCTCCTCCCCCCCGGACAATCCCCTACACCCAAATCCCTCATTGCTTGAATTTTTAGCTGAACATTTATATAAAGGCAAAACTAATAACCTGAATAACCAGCCCTAAGATCTCATAAACATAGGGATAGTGGCAGCGCCTCAGCTTTGTGCCTTTGGTTTTTAATTTCTTTATTAATCTTAAATTTTTTTCTTTCAGTATAATTCTAATATCATAATGCATTAAAGTAAAATTTTAAACATAGGTAGTGGCAATGCCACGGCATATAACAGTTTTCTGAATTTTCTTTTAAAACTTCTTCCGTTCTCTAATAATAAAAAAGAACAGTTTATACAAGTCCTTCACTAGATGATTACAAACGTGGAAATGGTGCAGTTTATTATTGGTATATTGCTATCACACAGTATTTCATAAGTGTACGGTAAGGGTTAGTCTACTTTTCCCGACTGTGTGACCCTATAGCGTTCTGCTCATTTTATCTACGTCATTTAAATGATCTTTCTATGAAAAGAAAAACCCTTTTTATCAAACCACTGTCACGACAAATGACAATTAGAATGTAATTATGTTTTTATACTGGGAATAAAAACTAAACGTCAACCAGCATTCTTCGGTACTGTCAAAAATATATACGACTCGTATTGTAAAGATCAAACAGACTTTTTCTTTCAAAGATAATAAAAACATAAAAAGGCATTTGCTGACGCTTTTCAAATTCAGGTGGTTTTTTATCTTTGAAGGCCTACATGAAACCAATGCATTATTTTTAACAGCAAGTGAATTTGGCTTTTTTCATTCACTCTCACCAGTTTAGCTGGCTGCGAGATACAGTTTTTGTCACATAACTATTAACCAGTGATGATTATGCAGGTAAACGTTGTTTCATATTGCAAATAAATTTAAAGAAGAAAAAAACTATTTTGTTGAATGCCAACATGAATGCTTTAGATGAACAGTGCTTTATTATCCTCCAGCTCAACGGGGTAATTCATGTCATGTTAATACAGCTGGATAAAAAGTTTGAATAGTAGCTTTATTAAAATATATTTTTTTATGTTTTCTTTTTAATGTTTTTCAAGCACTGGCATTTTCGAATGTGACTTAACTCCAATCCACCTGAAGCTCTGTACATTTTTTGTATTTCCACATAAGGTATACTATTGGCGTTAATGCCGTTAAACATTATGTAATATTATTTTATGCACTGTCATAATTTTTCACATATTGAGATTTTCATTATGCAAATTTGAACTCTCATGGTCCTATAACTGTTATCTTATTGACCATCTTACCTGCACAATTAAAATTTAGTGTTGATTGACTGTGCTGTCGTGGCATTATTTATTATTGCATCAAAATTAACAAAGAGACCTATATTTTGCATCTTTATTTTCACGAAAAATGACAATTTAAATGTAATTATGTTTTTCAAACTGGGGATAGAAACTTAATGCCAACCCGCGTTGTACGGTACTGTCAGACATATTTTTTGTTAACATCAAATAAGTGTTCCTTTCAAATTTAATAAAACGTTTGCTGATGCTTTTAACTCCGTTGGTTTTATCTTTGAAGTCCTACATGAAACCAATACATTATTAGTAACGGAAAGTGATATTTGCCATTTTCATTCACTTTTTGTTTCAAATTCATCCAAACTGATCATGTCGTCGCCATTTTTGTCTTTTTTTCCATGAATTTAGCGTGTATGTCCTGTGTTTCTGTTCAGGTTCATTGCGGCACGAATGTATTCATCTTTGGACAGCTGCTTATTTCTATAATAAAATGGTTTGTAATTAAAACACGCTGTTCATTTCTACATGTACGTACTTAAGCTCATTTCTTAATGGTACATTGTTACTTTGTATTGAAACAGAATAATAAGAACATGGTCAGAATAATCCTCAAGTAAAATGTATTTTAAACTCCAAACAGACGGTAATAATCTGTTAAAAAGTTAATGTAATTG